TTTTATTTCTGAAATTTGAAATTTTTTAAGAAAATCATCTCCCCACATGCCATAAAAAGTACAAAAGGATAGATGTCGCTCCTTCTAACAAACCAATTATGGCGAATAAGCTTATTTTAACCAACTTGGAACAATTTCTAACACGGATTAACTCTCCGCTTACGCGTTAATAGCGCGAAAGATATCGCGCGTTAATTGTCCCAAGTTGGCCAAAATGGCAATCTTTAAACCCCCATAACTTTACGAAAAATGATCACAGGTGAAATATCTTTTCAAATTTGAGCTTAGGACAACAATACCTTTCGAATGATATTTTAAAAAATGCCGTCAAAAAAGGCTAGTTAAAAAGTCGAAATTTGTCTGAAGAAAAAAAAACCCACCCGAGCACAAATATTCCGTTACTTTCGTATCGAAAGTCGGAACAATAACGGTCAGAAGATTTTAAAAAATCACTTTATAATGTACATTGGTTGTATGGGTGAAGAGCGACAAAAATTCCAAAATTTGAATCAAAAACAAATGATACGTGTGCCACAAACGTACCAATTGATACGTTTGGTAAATTGAGGAGGGGTAAACTGTGGGGGCGGGGAGGTGGGGGTGGAGGGGTATTAAATATGAGGGGGGGGGGTGTAAATCATATGCCAGTTCCCCAAAGTGCACCACCAATAAATAACCCCCCATAAAGGGGGGGCGAATGGCGGTTGTGGTAAACTGGCAGGGAGAAGGGGGGGTAAACGGGGGGGGGGGGGGTTGAGGTGTAAACAAGGTATAAAAGACAAAAATTATAAAAACTGAAACGTGAAATGTAACATTTTATGAAACTTAAAACTTAGTGACTGCACTGAGCAGGAAATGCGTTAACTTTGAAAAAAAGTTGTAAATTTCTTGACTAACCTCTCGAAAAAATCCATTATAATTGATTATAACCGATGATAATCGATCATAATGGATTATATTGATATAAAAAAATGGATTTTAATCCATTTTTGATGGATTATAATCAATTATTTTTGTATTTTTATAGATACTGACTATAAAATGACATTATAATCGATTATTAGGTGCATATACAAAACAGTCCCATACAAAACAGTCCAATACAAAATAGTCCCAAAAATCATGTAATGGAGAAAAAAAAACAGTCCAATACAAAACAGTCCGGTTTAAGGTCGCCGATGGGCGCGCTGTGCGCGCGTCGCCGCTTTGCGGCGATAACCGGATCTAAACTTCGTATTAAGTGTTACCTTCTGTTGGCAAGCTCGCAACACGTTTGCGCGACTGCGGCGGTCATTATTTTGTTCATTATGCTTGTTGACACAAAGGACAGTTCTCGACCTGCCGGCTTGTTAAAACAATTATTAATTGAGACTGTTTTTCGGACTATTTGTATCGGACCGTTTTTTCGTTCATTTTCATACTTTTCCGGACTGTTTTGTATTGGACTGTTTTGTATGGGACTGTTTTGTACAGGGATTATTATCCATGGAACTCCAGTGCGGGATGTCACTGTAAAAATGGTATGTGCGGAATCATGATAAAACTTGATTAGAGTTTTTGATACAATCTAAAAAGTATTAACGGCTTGAGGTCAAATTTAAACATAAGGTTATCTGTGATCATGTTTTGTAACATTATGGCGGCTTGAAAATTGTTAACTTGCTCAATTTGAAACAATTAACGAGCGATCTATTTCACTCTATAAACGCACCGCTGATGTGCTGATTTGAACCGGTTCAAATACGCTCTAATTTGATTTGAGGCGAACTGATTGGAATTTTAATGCAGTGACAGATACTGAGTGCAGCATTTCATTTACATCGCAAGAGGGATATAAAAAAACATCAGAACAAAACTCTAATTTCTCATTGAATTTTTTTCATCAGTTATCAGTTTTCTATCTCTTTACAAAATTTTTATTAATTGGACTTGAGGGGGGCAATGAGATCATTTCGGCTGTCACCTTACTTTATTTAACAATTGATAGAGAAAAGTTTTATCAATTCGATTCTTACGAAACTGAAAATGTCACAAGAAAATCATCGAACGTAAGCGCTACTGTAAATTTTACAAGACTGTAATAGCTGTGAAGACCTTATTTTGCAAAGATTCTGTAAACCACTAACTGGTAAGTTTTTAGTAGCCTATAACGCGTCCAGACAATTCGGCCAAAGACAATTCAACCGATTTGAAATTCAGACAATTCAGCCAAAAGTATACATAGACAATTCAGCCAGAGACAATTCAGCCAATAATCGTGACCGCCGCAGTCGCGCCAACGTGTTGCGAGCTTGCCAACAGAGGGTAGGATTCTATACGAAATTTAGAGCCGGTTATCGCCGCAAAGCGGCGACGCGCGCGTAGCGTGCCCACCGGCGACCTTAAACCGAGAAATAGCTTCATTTCCGATTTTTTTCTTTCTGTAAAACTGGCAGAATTTTCAAAGGTTGAATTGTCTGTATGCTTTTGGCTGATTTTTCTGAATTTCAAATTGTCTGAATTTTCTGTGCGCGGCCTATAACAATTGAAGTAGCCTTAGGTAGCATGTAGCAGCTAAAATCAACCAGCAAAAATTAACCTTTAGCAATTGCTTTTAGAACTGTAGCAATTAAAACCAACTCAGTAATATCATGAACCAACTCAGGCACTTTATTGAGCATGACTGCTCGTAAATAAATGTTCCGACTGTCCCAACATTACAAGACCAAGCTGTGCATTTTCTGAATTGTAAGTGGATTCCGTAACAGGGACGCTCCCTTTGTTTTGTTTTTCAATCTCTCATTTTCTTTGATCGTTCCGACAAAACATTAAGATGTTATAGACTTGTTTCTGGAATCCAGGAACAGACAAGCACAAAATGGTGCGCCTATCCAATGCAAAGTTTGGCCACGTAATGGAACAGTTTTTAGGAAAAAAAATATTGAAAATCTGTAAATTTAGGACAATATCAAAGATCAAGTTTTAAAAACGGAGTCAAATTTTTTTCATACCCATTAATCCAAATTGTTTTATCAACTTATTTCTACTCAAATTATCGCATTTTTCAATTGATATTTTGCTGTCCAAATTTATAGATTTTTTTTTTTGCCCTGATAAACAAAACGACTGCTTGGTTCTTATATCATTTTTTTTATAATTTAATTCAACTTCGAAGTGAGAAACTTCTTCTAGGTTGATTAACTTAGGAAGAGTTAGGTTTTTTCTCTTTTAAATAGACCAGGCGGCAACAAAATATCAAGCATAACTGAAATATCTGTTTTTTTCCAACTATGATAACGTATTTTAGTTAGGGGAATTAACTACTGATTCTGGAACTGAATAAATAACATTTCTTTTCGACATGATGAGAATTGTATACTTTGATGTTCATGTTTGGATCGGTGGTAATTAAATTGCTTATCCGCATTTAGGAAAAGTGAAAACAAATCGATTATAATGGATTTTCGTGGTCTATAATGTTATAAATATAATATATTCCCATGTTACGTTCAGACAACGAAATTGGACTAAAAACGGATTTAATTTCATTTTTTCTGCTAAAACAAAAAGCATTATAATTCATTTGTAATCCATTATAATGAATTTTATATTAAGTAGGAAATCACATTAAACTGGATTTTTTTCCACTTTATTTTTGTTTCGCGAGTCGTGCAAAATTTTGAAAGAAATTCTGCCTTTATCAAGTGAGTTATGCGGAAACTTTGCAAAGCGAGTGTACGGCCTAATCCATTTCTAAACCTAAATTCAAATTCCAAAAAGATTCCGTTAAGCTCTCCCCCTAACGTTTGCCCCTTTTCTCCCCTTCATTCCCCCGAACGTTTGCCCTTTGCTCCATTCCCCTGAACATCCCCCCCCCCACCTGAACACCTCCCCCCACATGAACCCACCACACCTCCCCCACCTGAACGCCCCCACCTGAATCCACCCCCTCCCCCAACCCCCCCCCCCCCCCGCCCCACTGAACCCCCAGGGGAGGGGGGGGTTGTTGTAAATGGGCAAACGCTAGGGTTGTAAGTGAACCCCCCCCCCCCCCCCCCCAAAGTTTCTAATAATTTAACAAAATTGTTGAAAGGAACAAAATTCAGTTTTTGAGTAACATAAATAAGTAAAAACTAACAAAAATATCAAAGTTAGGCAGAAAATAGTTAAATTGAACAACAAGTAACCAACATAACCAACTTTAGTTTAAAAGATAGAAAAGACTTTATGTGCGTTGAAATTCGCATCTCAGTGAAAAGGGAAGAAAATTGATTATAATTTAGTTTCATTGTCAGTGCGCACAAAAGTGAAAAAAAAATCGATTATAATGGATGAAAAAAGGATTTTGTTGCCTCAAAAAAAATAGTAATTTTATAATCCATTTTTAAGTGATTATAATCGATTTGTTTCTTTTTTTGTGGACACTGACAAGAAAACTCAATTATAATCGATTTTATTCGTGGAACTCCAATGCGGGTAGGAAATAAGTCAAGTACGGGGGTGTACTTGATTGGTCCCATGACAAAAGTAGATTACATGGGTCCCGCCTATTTGTCATATTACATAAGAAAGCAAACAGCAGTCCCAAATTGTGTTTCCAAGTTTTTCCTGTGGGTTATTGAATTGGGAGTAATTGAAGAAATTTGGACTTGTAACCACAAGATTAGGACTATAAGACGAGGAAATAGGATGCAGGATGCTTTTTGCAATAAAATCATTTCGTCACATCCATTTCGCCACAAAGCACCAAAATTTTTTACACTGTTTTTGAAAAGGATGGTTTCTTTTGCATTGATTCCTATGGAATACAGCTATCTCAGTTTCGGATCTTTCAAAAACAGGGCATCTAATTTTAGAATTGTTCGTTTTTTGAGCTCTAATATCTGCGACATTTCTCAGAGGCGGATTTTTGGAGGATTTTGGAGGGTTTCCCAGAGTTTTACTCTGAAATAGCATCGGATTTTTTAAAGCATAAGCACTGACAGGCAAAAAGAGCCTTTTCCAGGAGCTCTAACTAGATATCGCATCAGAAAACTAAATTTGAGGGTTTCTCATATAAATAAATTGTATGTTAACTAAAGTTATTAAATGTTAAATATGTTAAATTTCTTCTGAGTTCCTGAATAATATATATATTCAGTCATAACTTCATTTTTGACTTAGTATTTTGGTTGTTCATCGCTTTTTCATATTTTCGAACACTCTTGAAATATCACCCTGGGCTTTCTTGATTTCCTCCACCAAGTTTTGGTCCAAATTGAATCCCATGTTCTTAAATACATCAACTGCATTCTGAACTGCTTTGTCATCTTTCACTGCAGCTCCGCCTAGCCCGAACAGAAAGTTTCCCAATTCTTGGAACTGAGGTGCCATATTCGCGAATGAACTCGGATTCCCAAAGTACGACGACGAAGACGAAGACGAAGATCGAGCCTCGTCGTTCCCCGAAAAGTTTCCTTTTTCATTCGCAGAACTCTCTTTTGTCGCCAATTTGGGCTGATCGTCGTTTGAGGAATTGAGCATCCCATGTTTAAGCAAGTGATTCACCGCTTCTCGGAAAGTTTGACCCACCGCCTGAGACGCCCATTTCGCCGCCATTTTTCCAAATTTTTCATTCGCCTCAACGAACGTCAGTTTTTCAATCTCCTTCACAGCTTTTTGCAGTTTTTTATTCACGCCTCGCTGAGCAACTTTGGCGTCCGAAATTTCGTTGTCTGAATCGTCATCATCACTGCTCGAAGATCCTTCCTTTTTCAGTTGTTTCGGAATCTTTTTGGCCTTTTTTGCTGGCAATCCTCCGGTGTCTCGTTGAATCCTCGTCGCTCGTTGAACCGACGACCGGAGTGCCACATCGATGCAATCTTCGATACCCGAAGCGTCTTCGCGCCCGCATATTTCAACCATTTTCTCTTTAGTTGCAACGCGAATTTTGGATGAAAGTTTATCCAAGTTTTCCTTTTCTTCGTCCGACCAAAACTGATCAGGTTTGTATTCGTTTGGCGAAGATTCATGATTTGTGAGGCCACAGTCGGAGTCAAACGCAGCTCCTAATCCGACCAAGTTTTCCTTCAGACATTCCATGAGTTCGCAGAATCCTTTGTTTCCCAGCTTGTGTTCTTTTTCCTCTTTGTCGTCAAGGTACACTTTGAAGATTCCGTTGGCAACTGAGCCGAGCGCTTCGATTAATTCTTCGTCGGAACTGAAAGTCACCAAGTCTCCGTCGGCGTCTTTCCACTGCATGACCAAGCGACCTCTAGCGGGCAGTTCAGAAAAAATGGCGCGAATTTTTTCTCCCAGAAGGTCGAAAGACGTTGCATTGGACGCTTCAATGGGGATTCGGCGGATTTCGTCTCTGAAGAAAGCTTTAACTATCAGCGACATTTTTTTTTAATTGTTCGAAAAATTCAGACAGAAAAGATTTAAGTTTTTCAAAAGTTTTATGGAACTATGAAGCGATTCGAATAATGGCAAATTGAGTGAATTTTGATGGCCAGTTTTCTTTTTTTATACTAGCTACCATCGGAATTTCTAGAATATTCTCTAGACGTTCATAGTGAGCGAGTATTAGCTGTAGAATTGTAGTTGTCATTCGTTTCTGTCTGCTGATGACTGTTGTACCGCTGAAACAAAAAAGAATTAAGCAGAATCGTCATTTAGTTTATTTCAAAGCCGAGAATGATAGAATTAGTCATGATACAAAGTCAAAACAGAAAAAAAAAAAAATCAATTTCGAACCCAAAGTATCTTCAGAAAAAAATTTTGATGTTTTAATTTTGTGTTTTCAAATTAGTGACCAATCGGCTTAGAAAACGTTCGTAATGATTGAGATGCATAAAGCAAAATCACGTCAATCTATTGAAGGAATAAGCAGAATAAGCAAAACAAGGCCGAAATTGAGTTGGTATAAAAACAACGTAAATGAATGACGGGCATAATTATGCTGGTAATACTACAGAGTAAACAGTCGTAAGAAATGAAAACGAGCGGTCATATTCGTGCAAAGCGGAAGAGCGTCAAAACGTAAAGTGAGGATGGTATCAACACAATAAAATGTGTAGCAATGACATCGCATAGTATATGTTAACTTTTCTGGCAAAACTTTGTCCACTGAAAGGTTGTGAAATAATTGAAATTTTTTCGCTCACCCGAATTTTTTCACTTTTCGAACAAAAATGGACAGACTTTGAACGCTGAAAATATTTGTTGGTAATAGCGGAATCCACCAAACTTGCGAAAAAGCGCCGATAGTTTGATTTTTCCGTTGTCCATTCCACTCAAACGGAAAAATTTTCATACCATCGTTTTTCGATCAATCCGTTTTCCACATATATCATTTTGACTTTTTAAGCGTTGTTTAATTACTATTCGGACCACAAAATATTAAGGGCCACGTGAACTATCTCCCCCTTAAATCAAAATAGGGAGACAATGTTACTTGGTTTTTATTAATACTTTCCAGCCAATAAGATTTGAGCATAGGCCGGCCTTTCCTCAAATTTTACTGTCTGAAAAATATTTCTTTTAACCAAGTGAGTTTGGCCCCTACTTATTTTCCGAAACTGAATTATGGGTATGACGGAACAGTCGGGAAAAGATTGAAGGATTCGAGAGGAATCGTCGCACAGTTGTCGGTCCATGAGTAGAGATGAAATATCAAAAATCCCTGCATGACAAAATCGAGTCGTAAGGCTAATCATGGCCCATGTGAACAATCTCTCCCCTTAAACTAAATATCGAACTCAAGGGGTAACTGCGATCTTAGCGCGTAGTTTGAGCAACAGCTTTACTAAGAAAGTGATGCACTGTTAAATTTTTTGGGCGAAAAAATAAAAACACCCGAAGAATCACCCGAGCACAAATGTTCCGTCATTTTTTTCTCGCAAATGGGAGCAATAATAATTGATATTTCCGTTGTTTGCAGAGGATTTATGAAAAGCTATCAGGTCTGTCTAAGCATAGTGCGTTTTTTCCCCTACATTACAGACTGATTAGCCAAAATTTTTTTTATAAGGTTAAAAGTTTTTTTTTAAATGTCTAACAGTAATAAAATTCAGCTAAATGAAGGAAACTCAATGTAATCTGTTGAAATTTTCAAAGGAAATGGCTCATAGTTCAAAATCTGACCTGAGATCTGTACGAAATCGGGTTGAGGTTCTGTCATTGTTTGGATCAAAAGCATTGATATTAATAGTAAGAAGACTGCTCGTATCAGAGTGAAGCCTGAATGTTCCGACTGCATTTTTAATTCTATGGAGTAATATTTGCGTTCAAAAACTTGATAAAAGTATGCCCACGCTATGTAAAATTCAAACAGATATGGCAAAATTTTAACTAGACCAAATACTCTGTCTAAATTACATTTGGAACGATTTCTAAGACGAATTTCATCTCCGTCTTGAGCACTGAACGATACAAAAAAAAAGCTTTTTCAAAAATAGCTAGTTAAAAATTTGAAACAAGACTGGAGAAAAAACCAACCCGAGCACAAACATTTTGTCACTTTCTTCAAAACTCGGAACAAAAAGCGGGTCTTTTTACTTATTCCGCCTGATATTTTAATTTTTAAAACATGAAAACAAAAAACCAATTGTTAAAATCTGATTGGTTGAAGCTAAATACCAACTTAGTGCGCAGTTTGAGCAACAGTTTCTTTTAGAAAATGTTGCGCTATTAATATTTTTGGGCGGAAAAGTAAAAAGACCCCAAAAATCACCCCGAGTACAAATATTACCTCATTTTCGTCGAAAGTCGGAGCAGTAATAATTGATGTTTCCACGGTTTGCGGAGGATCTATAAAAAGCTATCAGGTGTGTCTAAGCAAGAAAATTTCTTTCCCGCGCATTGCCGGTTGATCAGTCAAAATAATGTTTCATTTTACGTCTCACAATAATAAATCTCAGCTAAATGAAAAAAATTCAATGTAATATCTTAAAATTTTCAGCGTATACGGCTCAGAAGTCAAAATCTGACGTCAGATCTATACGAAGACGGGTTGAGGTTCTGTCATTATTTCGATCAAGTTTATCTCGAATCAACCGGTCTTCGTAAAAGTAAATAGTACTCTATTTGAGAAAGAGTAAAGCTCTTCTACATTTTGTTTTATAGATAATTTGATCAAAAGCTGAAGTTGGAAAAAAATTGTACTTCTGAAAAGTTCTCAGCGAATCGAGATCGCGAAAACAAAAAAGAAGCACTAAAAAATTAGACCACCAAATTTTACTCTCACGGATCAGAGGACCTGGTTCTTGCGTCCCTTAGTGTGTCATTTACATACTCTTGAAGCAGCCCGGGTTGACCAAAACTTCTTATCATACAATTTCCATATTTAAAAAAAATTTTCCATACAGTTTCATGGTTTCATGCAATTCCATATGTAGAGAAAAATGTATGAAATCTCTTTGATAAGCGTTTTCGACATATGAAACTGTATGACAAGTATTTTTCCAAAAACCAAAAAATTTGATGTTTTTTTTCTAAATTTAAAGTCTGAAAATTTTTGGGTTGTATTTGTAACCGAACGCAAATGACAAAGACCTTGTTTTACTACAAGCACCAAATTTGGACGGTCTTGCATTTACAATGCAAAAAAAACTGAAATGTCCTAAAGCTGTCTTTTACAAAGGTTATAGCGAAAGTAACAAATTTCAGAATTTTGGCCAATTTTCAATGATGATTATTTTCAAAGTTTCTTTTTTTTTAAATTGTCAGTTATCGATCAAGGTATACTATACATAAACATGCCATTCAAGAATTAGGAATTTTCAGCCTTTTTGAAAAAGTTATTAAGTAGAAAGCATAGAGAAATCCTATATAAGTGTGTCTAGGACTACGTTATGCATGCAAAAAAGTTTTTTGAGAAATGTTTGTTTGTGTACAAACTTCATTTTGCTGCTGAAAAACAAAGCAAAAAAATGGGACATTTTCAAAACTACTGGGAAAAATAATTGTGTCACCATCAGAAAACGCTGGACAAATGATTTCCATATAAGGGAGTTGCATGATAAGCGTTTGTTTTTTCAAAAAACAAAATCAAAAAACCTCTGTCTTTTCATCACCAGACTGTTTTTTTAGAATCAAACAGCTGCAGAAATTATTTTACATCTTTTTCAATTATTTTTGAAAATTGTATCGAAAAGTACGAAAATTTTATGCCAAGCGTTTTCCTTACACTTGATGTATGGAATTGTATAGTAAGGATTTTCGGTGTATGGAGGTCAACCCGAGAGTCTGACAGAAGATTTTTTAACTTTTTTGAAATAATACAGTCGGGGCTTAAGAAATTAGACGACCACCAAATTGGGAAACTGTAATAAAACGGACTTAGGACGATACACTATTGTGAATTTAGACAATAAGAACTGGACCAATTACTTTTTTTGTTCAGAATTAAGTTACAAAAAAAAGAAAAAAAGAGTATGATTACAGAACTGATCAAATTTTTTATTTTAACTTATTATTAAACCATAAGCGGAAAAATTAAATTACATTTTTTTTGAAATGCATGAATTAAACAGCTGTAACAATAATATCTTGAATTTTGGTTGGACAATCAGTGTTTATTCAATCAGAAGTTAACTTAAGGCTGTAAACCAGTTTCACGCAATTTGCAAGCAAGATTCTATTTTTTACTGATCTTACATTGCTTGTCGTCGATTTTCTAAATCCCAATACAAACCTTACAACTCATGGTATAAAATGAAAAGAGTTGTAGTAGTATCACACTAAATACCCGGCATGAATTTGCATTGCAATTCAGAAATGAATCCTTGTTATTACTGAGTTAGGACCGAAGTGTATAACTCATAGAGTAATTTCGGATAGGGTACACCGTCTGCTCGTCACGCTATCTTAATTTCGGCCGGATAGATTCGTGCAACTTCTTAGTCTAATACCAATCCTAATCTTACTCTTATACTATCTAGTCTCAGGTTGTTTAACTAGTCTCTGCTAGGCTCAATAGATCTAGGGTATACTGGTTTATTGCGGTTGCTGAAGTCTTCTTGGAGAGTCAACTAATTTCTAAGTTAAATTCAAATCTCTCTGGTGCTGAAATTACAAGTAATTCCAGCACTTACAAATAAGTGGGTTGTTAGTTGTATGGATCATGATTGGTTAATATTAAATACTTTACAGTGGTAAAATATCTAATTTATCCAATCATAAAATGTAGTTTAGATCAGGTTCCACCCATCCGGGTTTTACAGAGTTTTTTAGAATAGCCTTTCTGTAGTTCAAAGGATGGATGATGGACGTTGGTATTTGGTGAACATCATATTTCTTGTGGGTTCTCTTGTTAGAGAAGTTCCAGGTTCAATCGTTGTGTCTTCTCATGACAACGACTGGGTTTTCGCAACAATATCAAATCTGATTTCAGAATGGTTGGCTATGTCAGGTTTTTCTGTTTCATTGATGAGAACTTCTTTGTGTTTTATCTTGTCTGGGAATGGCGTGGAGATTGTGCGTGGAGGGCATGCCTGGTTACTCGGATCTGTA